TTTTTTTTATTTATTTTCTTTTTAGGTTTTCCTTTGTTTCTTTACTGTTTACTGTTGACTGAATGATTTCAGTATATCATTCGTGAATGTCTTATTTAAGTAAAAGTGAATAATTTTTACAAAAAAATTAATGAAAATTATGGCAACTTTTTACTAATTACTTTAGCCAAATGGTTAAAATGTGTTGTTATTGCAAAATATCACTAAAGTTTATGATTTTGAAAAAGAAGAGATTTTAAAGGCTTAAATAATTTAAACCCAGTATAGCTAACATAAATTGCTAAGATGAATAAGATGTTTTACATGAATTAATAGAATGAAAATATTGTCTGTAATATCTAAAAATTATCTATAAAATCATATTAACCAACTTTCAACCTTGTCAAATTTATTAGATAATTATTCTTTATATTTGAAGAAGATAATAGTCTTTTCAAATTTTAGATTTGAGATACAATCAAACCTTTAGGCTTTGCCTTTAACATTATTTTATTCAATTTCATATTTTTTTCTAAAATAATTGCTGATATTTCATAAAAAAGCAATCTTAAGGTGGAAAGCATATAGAAAATTATTAAATTTTCGGTGTAAGAAAAAGGTTTCTTGATTCTAATTCGATCTCATTTATAAAGCGAATGAAGTAGTATGTCTTATGTTGATTTCATAATATCGTTTTTTTCTGTAAACGCTTTCCTTTTTATGATTGACAATAAAAAAGATATTTGCTTCACTTTGATTAATATATGAAAGGAAAATTTTTTTCAAATTCAAGTATTGCTTTTTTAATCCTTGTCTAATTATAGAAGGATAGGATTGTATTGAAATGTTTAAACAAAGAAAATAAAGTTTTATTTTCCTATAATTTAATAATTGACAACTAATGCTTTTAAAATAATAAAATATGATTTATTAAAGCACAAGAGATGGATTGAATAATTAATAATATTGGAATAAAGTGAATGGTAAAGGTAACTTACTTATGGTATTTAAATCCAAAAGTGATTATATTTTTGGAGCATACTCTCCTTGTAAATGGGAATCATATGGTGGTAAATATGTAGAAGATAATACATTATCATCTTTTATATTTTCATAAACTCATGATTAAGTTTATCCTTTGAGGTAAGATTAAAAATCAAATGCTATTCATTGTAATTCAAATTCTTATGGACCTTTATTTGGAGGTGGATTTGATATTAGAATAGATAGTAATTTTACTGATGGATATTGTAAATTAGGTTATTCATATTAATTTAGTTAATACAAGAATTAAAGTGAGGATCCATATTTATTTGGATAAAATAAACCTGAAATAAAAGAATCATTTGATTAAGACACCATAAATATTATTGTTGTATAATAAAATGATTATGATAAAAAACTTGATGCTATTAGAAGAAAAAAAATTTCTTTATGTTTTTATTATTAGATAGACTAATATATTAGATATTATTAGGTTTTATTTTTAAATCATTAAAATGAAAAAAATTAATAATGAAAACATGAATTAGATTTTATTTATTTTTATTATAACCATAACAGCTATAAGTATAATCGGGTCTTTGAACAAAGTAAATTTTATTAATTTAAATTATCATCTCTAAGGATTCTCCTTTCCTTAGATAGAATTAATATAATCTTGTTTTGATAAATTTAGTTTATTATTGTAATTATTCTATATTAAAATAAGACTATATAAAATTAAATGAATTTTAGAAAAATATTTCTATGAAAAAACTAAATTCTAAGTGATGAATATTTAAATTTAACTTCGAATTATTCAAATATTTGTTTTAGGTTTTCTTAAATATTCTATAATAATAATTATCATTTATTCTTAGAACCTAACAATGTATCAGAAGAATGATCGAAAAGTATCAGATCAAAGTTACTTACATAAAAATATGTTTGGGCTGAAAGAGATATTTGAGAATTTTGTTAACAATGATTATAAAAGTGATTCATAGATTGAACATTATTTTCATATCATGGATTTTTAATTTTGCTAACCTACAAATAAACCAAACAGGTAATAATAATTATTGGGGCTTTTTAATAATTTTGAATCTCTTATTTATAAAAATCTTTATATCAATTAGTGCTTAATTAGCGTAATTTATAATAATAATATTATTTTTTTAATGGAAGAGTCTTATCATTTAATCATTTCTTTTAAAAAACCATAAAT